TGCAGCAGTTGTTGACTTTCTGTCTTGAAGAGGGAGTTGGACTCGTCCCAGATGGGGTGGAGATTGCTTTATCACAAGGTAAGTGGCTAATGGCTTCTGGACTGGTTTCAATCAGGGAAATGTTTCTTTTTTTTTGGTAGTTTTAATGGCTTTGAATGGGGCATTGCCAGTAGCATTGGGAAAGTCCAGTCACGATGCTGCTGCTGTTATGAGTGTGCAGTAGGATTAATGGAGAGGTCACCTTTACCTGTCTGTGTGCCTTTCAAATATGTTAACAAAAGTAGACCCTCCCAAACCCAAGTTCAGACAGGACCACTGGCAAAGTCAAAGGATCAATGTAGATGGCAGTGCCCAGCCTGGCACTGGCCACCATCTTTGAGGCTGTATACCTCAAAACAGCTTCTCTCAGTGATAAAGCAGCACCAAGCCTTCCAAGAAATCTACTACCTGTATTCTGGATGGATAAGGGCTGGGGTAGGAGCTACTCATAAATCTCTATCCTGTGGCCGAGACTTGCAGAGAGCCTGCTAATGCTCATTGTAAATGCTACTCATCTGCATTCCATCCAAAGTTCATTCTTATCTACTGAGTGAGGTAATGGAAATTGGGAAGAATTTCATAAGGGCTTTTTAAACTACTTCCCAAGATATTAACCACAACTCCTTTCCCACTTCACAGTTTGACAGACATTCCACAACATGACAGAAAGTATCTCTTGATCATTTGATCACCTTCCAAAGGGTAGCAGGAGGGTGGCCATTCAGTCATCATGCATGCCAACGCTCTCAAACCATGCGGAAAAACCATTTGCTCTTCATGGAACCTCCAGCTGAAGAGTTAGGCTACAGGTACATACAGAAATAACACATCCGGTTCATTGCTGGGGCTAGTTGTAGGACAACAAAACCCATGTGCCTTTGTGTAAACATTCAATGTTTCAGCTGCATCCAGACTTCCACCCACTACCCAAGGAGTTGCCAACCCTCCAGACCTGCCCTGGGATCTCCAGCAATTGAAGATTAATCACCAGGTCACTGCTGTTAGCAACACTGTGAGAAAAAATCCTAGCAGTTTGAGATTACTAAACAAAACTTGGACTAGTTTAATTTAATAAACTAAATATTGCAGACGGGGGGACAAACTAACTTTCAAGGTGAATCCAGATGGATGATGAAAAATCTGTTTGGATTCCAATGAGCTGTGGAAATCTATCTCCCCTCCTTTAATCTCCCACACTTCTCTCCCCTGTTTATCTGCCCTTTCAATTGCTACATTTATCAACTCAACCTCTCTCCCTATGTTTATCTCCCCTATGTTTCTCACCATCCTTCTCCCTTCCACCTATTTCCCTCATGTCTCTCCCGCCTCTCTCCCCACCCAACACTCTATCACCATCTTCCCACCTCATCTCTCTTACCACCTCTCCACATCCTTTACTCCATCTCCGTGGAAATCTAATTGGGCGACACATTCCTGGTCGGCATATTTGACTACAGCTTGACATTAACGTTCATAAAGACTTCGACTGAAATTTAGTTTCTCAGCAATTGTAACCATCAAGATTTGGCAGAGTGGAACTACACATTGGTAAGTTATTATCTCAATACTGCAGTATTGTTACCAATCAATGTTTCAGAAATGCAAAGATGTCATATAAATAGCCCCAGCAACTACCATTTAGCAGAAACAAGCCTGGAATGACACAGGAGAGAGATGACCATATCTTGAGAAAAGCAGAGAGAAAAAGAATCAGACTGTAAGGGAGGGAGACAATGAGGAAATTCAGGTTTCAGTTCTGAATGTTTGTAATAAACAGGTCAGGGAAACAACAAACCCTACTAAATACCTCCTCACAGGAGGAAAAAGTGAGAAAACCGAAAAACAAATGCTTTCAAGGCACCACATTTGGCGCAGTTTTTAGAAAGACAAGCCAAATCACTTCTAGAAATGCTGTCACCTTCATCTCACCCCAGCTGGAGAGTGCTGGTTGTTTTTTTTATCTTTAATCATCGTTACTTGGTGCAATTGTGGAAATACAATGTTCCGATAGAATTCACCATGGAGTCTCCCCAGACAATGTACCTGGTGAAAGTTGTGACACGATGGCAACATCAAAAATGATGCGAGCCACATGTTTCCTTTTAAACTCTCAAAAATTTTTTTGATGATAAATCCTCGTGAGTTTACAGCAAATGAAGATGCAGAGGGAGCCAATGGAGGATGGGCCCATTCAAGTTTACATTGTTGATGTCGGCAGCCATCACCACTGATCAATGTTTGAGATTGTGGTCAATACTGATGTGAGTACTTTTTAAAATTAATTCATAGGATATGAAAGCCACTGACAAGGGTAGTATTTATTGCCCATTCCTAGTTGTCTATGAACTGAGTGGATTGCTCGTCCATTTCAGAGGGCAGTTAAGACTCAATCATATTGTTGTGGGTCTGAAGTCACATGTAAACCAGACTGGATAAAAACAGCAGATTTCCTTCCGTAAAGCACATTAGTGAACCAGATTGGTTTTAAGAACAATCAACATGTATTATATTGGCTGCCATTAGACTAGATTTTGTTTCTAAATTCGAATTTCACTCTTTTCCATGGTAAGATTTGAATCTTTGATCCTGAATATTAGGGACTCTGGATTATTAGTCTGGTGACATGACCATCATGCCACAGCCTCCAAAATCAATATTTTGTTTGCTCGAATGGTACCATCAATAAATATGGAGTCTCAGCTAGCCAGGGTGTGTATTTCACTGCAAAACCTGCCACTCCATTCCTTTGCCAATGGAGTAAACATTTGTGCACAGTTTGACTGTGTGGGTGATGGTGTCACTGGACTAGCAATCCAGCACCCTTGGCTAATGTTCTGGGGACGTGGGCTTGAACCTCCCCACCCACCCATGAGGCAAATGGTGAAATTTGAATTGAATGAAAATCTGGAATGAATTGCCTAATTGTAACCATCGTTGTCAAAGTCCATCTGGTTCACTAACCTGCTGTCTTTACTCTATCTGTCCTGCAAGGGACTCCAGACCCACAGCGATGTGACTGACTCTTGGCCTAGTAAGCCTCGTAGTTCAAGGGCAATTAGGGTTGGGCAATAAACACTGGCCTTGCCACTCATGCCCTCATCCCATCAGTAAGTAAAGCAAAGTTTGGACAGTCCAGAGATTCAGCACTCCAATTCCACTTAATGATAGTAAGCTTGGTGTCAACCTCTCCCGTTGTTTGCCAGACATTTGGGACACTTACCACTCAGGGCTGAGATGTTGAGCACCAAACCCAGTCCAGCCTACCAGAGGTTGATGTGAAACTAGAGAAATTCCCACAAATTTAGGAAGTGACCAACAGTCAAAAATCAACATCCACCAGCCATAACAAGAGGACCTCAAATCAAAACCAACACTAAAGACCTACCTTTGCCGCAGTGATTTCACGCAATAATAGGAAACTTTTTATAGAACACTGCAAGTTTACATTTTAGATGCACAGAAGGAAGGTTTGACACTCTGCATAACTCCACTCAGTTTCGTCCCGAAAATGATTTGAATTAGAAGAAATTCTTGTGTTTCTGCAAATGTTGTCTAAATTCAGGCCAATTTAGTGAAAACTTTTGAGTTCAGTCCTTATCTCTGTGAATCTGTCCACTACTCACTGCTATGACATTTCCTTTCTCTATTCTTCATGGGTCTTACAATGGATTCTTGTTAAATCAAGAGTGGCCCTGTACCTTGAGTCAAGGAGCATGGGTGTCTTGACTCTGGCCAAAATCCTAGGCACACAACTCATGTCAACTGGACATAACATCGCTGGGTTAGTAATCCAGACGGTTCTGAAGAAGGGTCATTAGATCCAAAATGTTAATTCTGCTTTCTCTCCACAGATGCTGCCAGGCCTGCTGAGTTTCTCCAGCAATTTCTGTTTTTGTTTGTAATCCAGAGGCCCAGTCTAATGCTCTGAGATGTGGGTTCAGATTCCACCATGGCTGATGGTGAAATTTAAATTCAATAATTAAATAATTAAATTCTGGAACTGAAAGTTAGTCTTGTTAATGGTACTGATGTCAACTGTCACTGATTGTTACAAAAATCCATCAGATTCACTAATAGGGAAGGAATTTTGCCATTCTTACGCGCTTTGGCTTACATGTGACTCCAGACTTATTGGGTTGCCTCTTACTTGCTCCCTGAAATGGTCTAGCAAAACACTCAGTGCAGAGGCAGTTACGGATTGGCAATAAATGCTGGCATTGGAAGAATATTAAAACAAAAACTATAATGGAGAGGGGACTATGCTTCTGTTTCTGAGCTAACTTCAAAACCAAATGTCAGATCTGAATCACTGGGTCATGAGTTGTGTTTGATACTATCCAGTTGATAGGGCAAATCTAGTTGACAGCACCAAAAGCAGGTGGTGTGTCTGTTTATACCCAGCAATATAACACGGTCATTTTAGCTGACCTCAGAATTATCATTGCAGTTATCAATGTAGTTTTTAAAACTTCAAATCCAACAGATGTGTGACACAAGCCAATCAAATGATTCAATCGGGTATTCTGAGCAGAGGAATGGAAGTTGGAATAGTGATGTGGGAGGAGGAGGAGGAGGGAATTAATGTGTTGTTGCTGAGGTCTCACGAACAGAGAATATTTTACTGTGAATCACAGTGTTTGGAACATTTGTCTCTGTGGAGATGGCCTCTGCGACCAGCCAATCAGAACGTTACCAATATGATACAGTTAGCGGGAACATTCAAGCTGACATCTTTCCAAATTTCTAATGGATTGAGTTGAGCTTCTTGGAACCAGGGAGTGAGTGTCTCGGGGAATGAGAGAGCCAAAAAGTTGCAGGCATCATTCTGATGTCTACTCTACAGCAGATGATTCACGAGGCTGTCAGCGGCTGTATGGAACCGTGTTATTTCTGAGCAAGCAGGTTTCAGGCAGGCATGCAGGCAGGCAGAGGGGCCTCTGGGGCCGACAGTTGGCACCTACTTATTGCAGGGGCAGGAACAAAGGCCGCAGCATTTGCCCAGATCCGAGAGATTTTTTTCTGCTTCTTTCATGTCCTTATTGATTTGATCCATTCCCTCTTCAATCCTCTCCAGTTGCTCTGAATGAGGAAGACAGTTAGTTTCTACAGACACTGACAACAAATGAGCAGGGGATCAGCGAAGCCCCCAAACTGATTGGGGTTGGACCAAGGTAACGGCAAAGTGAGGTACGGGCACTTTTTGGAAACTTCAGGCTGTTGGATGTTGATGCCCCCGATTGGCACCCGGACCACACTTTACAGCAGACCCTTTCAGTGTGGGATTCTCTCATCCCTCTGAAGAATTACACACTTTTTGAATGAAGGAAAAGAGAGAAATGGACAGACAGAAAAACAGTACCAACATGGACACCAGGTATTTGTCATAGTCCCCTGACTCAATGGGACCAGTGGAGGTCCAGAAAGTGCCTTTGAATGCCAATACCTACTTGGCGCAGGGGCAGACGCAAAGGCCACAGCACTTTGCCATGTCTGATAAATTTTTCTCTGCCTCCTTCATGTCTTGGTTGATCTGGTCCATGCCCTCCTCAACACGATCAAGTTGTTCTAGTTAGAACAGAAGCAAAGGAGTTGAGTGTCAGGAAGAGAAATATCTGGGACAAACAGCACTCAGAACGACCTGGGACATTTGTTACAGGCCTGGTAAAAACTGATTGAAGTCATCGTAAGCAGTTAACTTCAGATCTGTAAAATTGTGAATGAGATACTAAAGTGTTATTTAAAAAACAATGTCATATCATAATTAGGATAAGGTTCATTTGGTCCCATGTACTTATCCACTTACTTTGTTTTCTAAGGTAACTCCTTGAGTACACATTCAAAGACCAGCTCCAGGTAGAAACTGGCTCCCAGATGTTGTTATACAGCTCCAGAGTCAGTCCACCATATAACAAGATCAACGGGCTGTGAAAGGGCCAGACCTTTTCATTCCGCCCAAACCTGGAAGATCTGGTGACTTAAAATCAGTCTGGAATCATGTCAGGCAGGGTGGGACACAGGCTTGTACTTGCTGATGATGCCCTCAATTACCCAATCCCAACTGTGCTCTCAGAGGCTATACTGAACAGGAAGCTGTTGTACCCCTGCAGTATGGGGTTTACATGTGTGTGTGTGTATGTGTGTGTGTGTGCATGCAAGTGTGTGTGTTTGTGCGTCTGTGCATGCGAATATGTGTGTTTGTGCGTCTGTGCATGCGAATGTGTGTTTTTGTGCGAGTGTGCGCACGTGTGTGTGTGTTTGTGTGTGCGAGTGTTTCTATTTGTGCATGTGTGTGTGACTGTGTGTGCGTGTTTGTGCACGTGTGTGAGTGTGTGTTTGTGTGTCTGCATGCGAGTGTGTGTTTGTGCGGGTGTGTGTGCAAGCGAGTGCATGTGTTTGTGTGTGTGTGCGTGCAAATGTGTGTGCTGGGTGGGGCAGGTGGAAGAAGGCAGTCACTCTGATGTCTCAAACACTTGCCCGAAAGTGTGATGTTGTGCTGCTGACTTGATTGGGGAATGTCATGTGAATCCTGCATTCACTAACACCAAGACAATAATCATGGATCTAAAGGAATCTGCAAAGCAATAAGGAGATGCAACAATACTGGGTGTGACTGATTACAAGGAATTTGACCAGACATTTTAAAAAAAGAGCTATTACAATTGAGCTTGAAATATGATTTTCATTGCAGTCACAACCCACATAATATATACAGCATTATATATAGAGCACAAAATATGGAGCACATTATATTCAGAGCATTATGTATACAGTGTACTATATAGAACATGGACCTAGAGTGCAATATATAGAGCATTATATACACAGCAGATTCCCGCAGTAAAAGAAATTATCTGAGTGTTCATTGGGACAATGCATCCCACGATAACCCTTAACCAGCAGTTCTCATGAGCACTGGATCTGAACTGGCACATTGACTATCTCCTTCACATACTAAGTGACTTGCTTCAGAGCTCATCTGATATTTACAGAACTTATGGCTTTCGTTTTCACCTTGAACTTTGTTCACTCACCTGTCTTGTGGGTATAATAGCCACCCATCAGCTGTGACCCTGCCCCAGGTAGCTGACTGGTAGGAAATCCATTCTAAAACTATTCTAGCTAAGAGCAATGAAGACCAATGAGTCTGGAACTACAGCTGGACTCAAATGGTTAATGGCAGGTGAATTAGCTTCATTATTGCACAAACCTCCTGATGTTAATTTCCATCAAAATCGACAAAAAATCTATCCAGAGTCTGCTGAACATCAAGTGTAACACGTAGCTACCATGTTCAATGAATGTCTCCGGTAAGACTTAGCGAATGTGTTGGATTTATACCATCAGCCCATACCAATATGCAAACCTCAATTTTCTAAGCATTCTTGTTTTCACTACTTAATTCCAATGCTAAAAAAATGCACTGATCAGGAAGTTTAGGGCACAACCTCCTAAAGTAAAGTGAGATGTCAAACAGTGACTCCATCTATATGGTCCTATGAGCTAGCAAAGGGTCAGAATATTCAGTGGAGGGAGAAAAACAGAAAACTAAAAAAAGAAATAAATTTAAAAAGTGCCATTCTTTCAAGGATATTGTGAAACTTGCAAGGGTGCAGAAAAGATTTACAAGGCTGTTGCCAGGGTTGGAGGGTTTGAGCAATAGGGAGAGATTCAGTAGGCTGGGGCTATTGCCCCTGCAGCATTGGAGGCTGAGGGGGTGACCTTATAGAGGTTTATAAAATCATGAGCAGCATAGATAGGGTGAATAACCAAGGTCTTTCCCCAGGTAGGGGAGTCCAAAACTAAAGGGCATAGGTTTAAGGTGAGAGGGGAAAGATTTAAAAGGGACCTAAGGGCATCTTTTTCACGCAGAGGGTGGTGCGTGTATGGGATGAGCTGCCAGAGGAAGTTGTGGAGCCTGGTACAATTACAACATTTAAAAGGCATCTGGATAGGTACATGAATAGGAAGTGTTTAGAGCAATATGGGCCATGCTGGGAAATGGGACTGGATTAATTTAGGATATCTGGTCAGCGTGGACAAGTTGGGCTGAAGAATCTGTTTTCATGCTGTACAAGTCTCTGACTCGATTACTTTATGACTTTCCAATATCTGCATCTCTGTTTATTAAGTATGCAATAATGTAAGGGAACATAATTTTACATTCACATTTGGCAGTTTTGGTTTTTATTTTTAGCTTTATTTTCATTTTCCTTTATTTCTGAACTTAGATAGCCAAATTAATTACTGTTTTGAACTCAAAAATGATTAAACAGAAGTTTCTGTACTATTAATGCATAAAATTTGCTGGGTATTTATTAAAAGACCAATTAAGAAAACATTTTCCCCTTTTCCTGGCAACTTATAGTTTACAAATAAAAACAGCAAATATCCTGGAACAACTGAATTGCTTCCCATTATCTACTGCTGGGGGACTACAAAAGCCTGGCACCTCCACCCTGGGAGACTGAGAGAAGTACACAACAAATCAGTTTGCAGGTGACACCCAAATTGGAGGTATAGCGGACAGCCAAGAAAGTTACCTCAGAGTACCAAGGGACCTTGATCAGGCGGGCTGATGGGCCAAGGAATTGCAAATGGAGTTTAATTTAGATAAATGTGAAATGCTGCATTTTGGAAAGGCAAATCAGGCAGGACTTCTATACTGCATACTTCTCTTCTGCATTAGACCTTCCAAATTACATCACCGAATTCGGTGGGAGAGACAAAGTGTGAAAAGTTTAGAAAGGGTGGAAATCCTCAACATGTAGAAAGTCCCACAAGAGTGGGGCAAGTTTGGGGAATGAAGCTGGGCAAGTGGTAGAAGTATCAGTGGAGGAGTGACTGTAACTCAGTAAGATTTAAGGCAGTCATGTAAAAGGACATAGATAGACAAGCAGAGATACCAAGGTGTAGAGCTGGATGAACACAGCAGGCCAAGCAGCATCATAGGAGCAGGATGGCTGACGTTTCGGGCCTAGACCCTTCATCAGAAAAAAAAAATGGACAAGCAATAAAGATTTTCAATTGGGGAAGGCTGATTTCTAGTATAATAAAACAAGATTTGGCCAAAGTAGACTCGGAGCAGCTACTTGATGAAAAATCTAGATCGGATCAGTGGGAATCTTTCAGAATAGAAATAGTGCAGGGCTAACGTCTTCCAAAGGTGAAAAGTGGAACTAAAAATTCCAGACAGTGCTGGATATCAAGGAATGTCCAGGATTTGATTAGGGAAATAAAGGAACACTTAACAGTAGATACTGAGAGTGCAGAATACTAGAACCCTTAGAAGCACATAAAAAAATGCACATTGTTACTTAAACTAGAATTAGGAAAGCAAAGAAGAGGCATGAAAAAAAAATTTGGAAGATAAAATGAAGGAAAATCCAACAGTATATAATGGTTGACTCAAGGTCAGGACCCGTGACGTATAAAGTTGGGTAGGTGCGACGGTCCTGAACAAACATGTGGACCATATGAAAGCTGCAAACTTGCAAACAGTGTGGGAGCAAAATGCACCAAGATCCTCGACAGACTTTCCAACTGCTCTGGAACCCGTAGTTTGTCCCCTTCCGTCAAATATTGAAAATACCTCATAATCTGAGAAGGATACAGCGGATATGGCCACCTTGATGCCTTTGCCACCTGAAGAGGAGAATGAATTTCTTCCGAGACTCTCTGGGTGCAAGAAGCAGCTACTGTGCGTTACATTTCACCCATATCAGAGGCAATGTTGGAAGATAACCAAGGAAAGAACGGACACATTAAGGACCTAAGCAATTAAATGAGGGTGGGCAAGAGGCATGGGTGATTTTTTAAATGAGTACTTTACATCTGTATCCACAATAGAAAAGAATGATGCAAGCATAGAAATCACGCAAAAGAACTGTGATGCATTGAACAAATTACAGTTGTGGGAGGAGATATTAGTGGGTTAACTCGAGTTCAAATTGACTAAGTTCCTATGCCCTAATGAGAGAGATCCAAGTCAGCTGTGGAAGTCAAGGGAGGGGATTGCAGGGGTCCTGACATGAATTTGCAAATCCTCTCAAAAGGGGGGAAGATGCCAGGGGACTGGAGGACAGTAAATGTCATGCCATTGTTCAAGAATGGTGTTGGTATAAACCAGGGATCAATAGGCCATTAAGTTTAACATCGGTGAAGGGGAAACCACTGAAAAAAAAAATCAGAGGGACAGAATTAATCTCCACTTGAAGGATCAATCAAGGAAATAAAGGATGGTCAGCATGGCTTTGTCTAAGAGAGATCATGCCTGACAGGTTTGATTGAGTTTTTTGAAGAGGTGACCAGATTTGTGGATGGGAGTAGTGCAGTGAATGCAGTCTACATGGACCTTGATAAGGCTCTTGACAAGGTCTCACATGGGAGACTGGCATGGGAATGAGAGCAATTAGTAAATTTGTATCCAAAATTGGCTAAGCAGCAAAAGCCGTAGAGTGATGCTCAAAGTTTGTTTTGGTGACTGGAAGCCAGTGTCCAGGAGCATGCCATAGGGTTCAATGCTGGGACCCTTGTTGTCATAGTGTACATTAATGATCTAGACATGAATGTAGGAGGTATGATCAGTAAGTTCGCACTATTATTGGTGGTTTGGTAAACAGCACAAAGGAAAGCTTTAGATTGCAGTACAATATGGATGGTCTGATCAGATGGATAGAACAATGGCAAATGGGAATTAATCCTGCATTTTGAGAAAAATAACAAGGCAAAGGAAAACACAATGAATGATAGGACTCTCTGCTGTACAGAGGATTAGATAGACCTTGATCTGGATGTTCATTCACCCTTGGAGACCACAAGTCACATGAATAGGTGGTTAAGAAGACATATGGGATGTTTACATTTATGAGTTGAGGCACTGAATACAACAGCAAGGAGGTTATGGTGGAGCTATGAATAACATTAGTTAGGCCACCGCTGGAGTACTGTGTACAGTTCTGGTCGCCACACTATAGGAAGGATGTTATTGCACTAGAGAGAGGGTACCGAAGAGATTTGCCAGGCTGTTGCCTGGACTGGAGTATTTCAGCTATGAAGAGAAACAAGGCAGTCTTGGGATGTTTTCCTGAGTGCAGAGAAGGCTGAGAGGGATCCTGATTGAGGTGTACAGAATTATGAGGCTCATAGATAGGTACATAAGGAGAAACATTTCCCCTTTGGAGAGGGATCGATAACTAGAAGGCATAGATTTAAGGTGAGGGGCAGAAGGTTTAGAGGGGAGTAGAGAAAGAATATTTTTCACGCAGTGTGATCAGTATCATGCAGCATATGAGGCTATGGGCGAAATGCTGGAAACTGGGACTGGACATGATGGGCTGAAGAGCCTCTTTCCTTGCTGTCAAACTTTGTGACTCACCTTCAGCCAGCCCAAGATTTTCCCTATTGCCCACATGGGGATAGAAAACTGTTACACTGAGTTACTGGTCCCTTTCCTTTCCTCAGAAACTTCCTTTCAATTGATGCATCATCATAAAGTATGTCATGACAAATCAAGTGGCTACTTCATCACCTATTCAAGTATAACTTTGCTTGTTCATTGACCGTAGTCTAAGTGTACAATATTAAATTTCACCATTGTATGTGCAATAATTCATTCGCGCATGTGGATATCAAGAGCTGGAAGTCATAATTCCCCGATTGTAGGAACATTGCCTATTTTATCAGAAAACACTTGTCCGAAGAGAAAACAATTGGATGAAGAAACCGAGGGAGCAATTTTTTGGAGTACAAGTGCCATGGTGTATCTTGTCCAGTTGCATTATCCATTAACTCCTCTCACTTTCTTCAAATCAAAAATTGTGGCCATGGGTACCCACATGGACCCCAGTTATGCCTTGTTCCACTTACTGTGGGGTAAGCGGAACATTCCTTATTCCAATCCCAATTGGGTCCTCCCCACAACTCTTTCTCCGCTACGTCATTGATACTGCTTCCCTCTCTCGCCCAGAACTGGAAAAAATGTATCGATTGCACTTCTAATTTTCACACTGCCTTCACCTTCACCTAGCCCATCTCCGACTTCTCCCTTCACTTCCTTGACATCTCTGTTTCCATTTCTTGGGATATGGAAGGCTCAATGGACTGAATGGCCTCTTTCTGCACTGTAGGGATTCTATGATTCTATCTATGAAATCCCAGTGCCACCACCGAAATCCCAATATAATGCAGCAGAGTAGCAGCATTGGAAGCAATTGCAGCATTATTCTTGCTGCCACATCTCGGTTGGATTAACTGAGAAGAGGTTAGTGCTAGAACCAATCTGGATCTGAATGACCTAGTTCCACATTGGGCAATATAGTTACCTATTAATACAATGCAGCATTGTAACCTTTAAGAACATACAAGTGATAGGAGAAAGGTTGCTTTGTGCAAGTGTCACTCTGCAGCTCAATAACATCTACCCACTCATTTCCATGAGCAGAGATAGTAGGAATTGCAGATGCTGGAGAATCTGAGATACCAAGG